GTAATCCCAGCACTTTGGGAGGCTGAGGCAGGTGGATTACCTGAAGTCACGAGTTCGAGACCAGCCTGTCCAACATGGTGAAACCCCGTCTCTTAATAAAAATACAAAAATCAGTTGGGCGTGGTAGCACATGCCTGTAATCCCAGCTACTAGAGGGGCTGAGGCAGCAGAATCGCTTGAACAGGATCTTACTCTTTTTTTTTTTTGAGACGGAGTCTCGCTCTGTCGCCCGGGCTGGAGTGCAGTGGCCGGATCTCAGCTCACTGCAAGCTCCGCCTCCCAGGTTTACGCCATTCTCCTGCCTCAGCCTCCCGAGTAGCTGGGACTACAGGCGCCCGCCACCTCGCCCGGCTAGTTTTTTGTATTTTTTAGTAGAGACGGGGTTTCACCGTGTTAGCCAGGATGGTCTCGATCTCCTGACCTCGTGATCCGCCCGTCTCGGCCTCCCAAAGTGCTGGGATTACAGGCTTGAGCCACCGCGCCCGGCCAACAGGATCTTACTCTATCACCCAGGCTGGAGTGCAGTAGTGCGATCATACCTCACTGTAGCCTCAAACTCTTGGGCTCAAGCGATCCTCCCATCTTACCCTGCCAAAGTGTTGAGATTACAGAAGTGAGCCATTGCACTCAGCCAAGAAGATACTTCTTATAGAAGAAAGGCTTGGGGTACATGCCATAACAAATGTGGAACCATTTGACCTATAGTGCCAATAGTTCCTAGTTACCTTAATAGCTCCTGAAGTCAGCCAGGTGCAGTGGCTGACAGCCTTTGGGAGGCCAAGGCAGGCGGATCACTTGAGCTCTGGAGTTCAAGACCAGCCAGGGCAACATGGTGAAACCCTATGTCTACAAAAAAAGTCCAAAAATTAGCTGGGTATGGTGGCGTGTGCCTGTGGTCCCAGCTACTGGGGAGGCTGAGGTTGGAGGATCACCTGAGCCCAGGGAGGTTGAGGCTACAGTGAGCTGTGATCATGCCAGTGTCCTCTAGCCTGGGTGACACAGTGAGACCCTATTAAAAAATAATAATAATAAAAAGCTCCTGAAGTCACCATACATGAACAATGATCCTGTATCATTTGAGAACACAAGTGGTATTCTGTATAGTCTCCTTACTAAGTTTGGGAGGTATACCATACCTTTAGGAAGGCTTCCATTCATTAGAGGAAAAGAAGAGTAGTTCGTTAAGACCTGATTGGTTAAATGGAGGTATTGCCATATAAAGAGAAATGCTTTAGAAGAAAGTTGGGTGTTTCCATTTATTCCCTTTTAGCAAGTTCAGTGGCATTGTGGCTGAAATTTTTGATAGGTGTGAAAGATGAAGGGCTGATTGTGCTTTATGAATCTGTCCTGTGAGTGTGAATTTTCATTCTCTGCTCTGACAGTGCCTGTCTTTCCCTCTAGGTGTGTGGGAATGCCCTCATGAAGCAATACCAGGTTCAGTTCTGGAAGATGCTAATTCTTATCAAAGAGGACTACTTTCCCAGGTATCAGGCTTGTTGAGCAGACAACAGGGGATTAAGTAAGGAAAACTCATAACCAGGCCTCAGATACCCAAGGGTGCTATTACCTGCTGGTTTTGATTCAAGTTAAAAACACCTGTACTAAGTATGACATCTTCCTACTCCAGTCCCTCTCGTTGATATTTGAATAAATGCTTTTGAAACTTAATGAGAGTCTGTCTTAAATATCATTGCCTAAACAAAAACACAAATTAGGGACTGGTCACAGTGGCTTATGCCTATAATTGCAGCTCTTTGGGAGGCCACAGCAGGAGGATCACTTGAGCCCAGGTGTTCAAAACCAGCCTGGGCAATATAGCAAGACCCCCATCTCTACAAAATAAAAAATTAGCCAGGCATGATGACATGCATCTATAGTCCCAGCTACTAGGGAAGCTGAGATAGGAGGATCGCTTGAGCCCAGGAGTTCAAGGCCTCAGCTATGATCGCACCACTGCACTGCACTCCAGCCTAGGTGAAAGAGTGAGACACCGCTTCCAAAAGATAGGTGTATATCATAGGTGTGATTCACGTCTTTCTCTCCCTGTAGAATTGAAGCTATCACAAGCTCAGGACAGATGGGTTCCTTCATACGCCTCAAGCAGTTCTTGGAGGTAAGATGCCCTTAGACCAACATGTCCCACACTGTTGTTGGGCTGGAATGCACCTGTGTCTAACAAGTCTTGGACCTGCAGATGCTCTGATTGCACTCTCTTCCTCAGTTCTTCCAAACCCTTCTTTTTGTGCCTAATTCCCTCTTAACCTTTGGAGTAAGGGCTGCCATTTCCTCTTCTTTATATGTATCATTCTCCATACTGCCTGTGAGAAAGCTCTGCTGAGATGAATAAAATATATTGAATGTATCTTCTCTCATGAATATGTTTTTTTGCATGTTGGCCAAAGTTCTTGTCTTAGTCTCAGGTCTGGGGAATTGGTAAGTGTCGTCACTTTTCTCCATGAGAACAAACTGCACTTTCAGTTGGACTCTTCCCCTACTTCCAAGTGCCAAGAAATTGTAAAACGTTAATTTTGACAAAGAATTTAGAACGCCATCGTGGGTTTGCCAAGATAGCCTGCTGACTTTTCAGCTTCTCAAAGCTCGACTGTGAAAACAGTGATTGTGAAAGATGAGCTTAGGCTGTAGGGAGACAAGAGTGGGACAGGAATAATAAGAGCATTTCATTTGTTGTCTGTGGCAGTTCATGCAGAAGTGGACATCTTATACAGAACCATCGGTCTTACTGGCTTTTTCCTTTTTGTTCACTGTTCCATAGGGCTGAAATATGGTGTCCCTGAAAGCTTCTTTTAACCATTAAGTGTTGGGAACACTGTTATCAGAAACTCATTCTGTTTTCTTCATCTTTCCCTGACCAGAAATGTTTGCAACACAAGGACATTCCTGTCCCCAAGGGCTTTCTGACTTCCTCCTTCTGGCGCTCCTGATGTCACTCCATCACCTACCATCACCATTATGCTGCAAAGAGGCAATAATAAAGGAACTGAAGACACCTGTATTTGGGAGAAGTCATGTCAGATTCAGAAATTTGCCAATATGTATTTTTATGTATTTATACCTTGTGACTAGGAGAGGAGATTTTCATGCGTCACAAAATTCTTGGAGGTCCCTTAGTAGATTTGGTAGTTCCTTAAGAGATCCACATGATAAAATAAATGGAATTGGCCTTTCTTGTTTTTTTGCAAAAGTGATAAAAGGTGTTTAGCACTTGGTCTCCTCCCTTCTTTGTCTCTAGTGTCTTTCAGAAAGTTGGCAATACCTTAACAAATGCACTCTGAACTGGAGGGAGCCCACCATTTGCACCCACCTACCCACCCTCACCCCTGTTCAGATGCATTTCCAGAAAGAGCTAAGGCTCATAAGGTTCCCTTTTAAGTATTATTTAATAGTTGAGGCCAGATACTTACATGCAAGTCTGGGTTATGGTTGTTTTGCCTTTCTCAGCTGGTGAAGTCATTCTAAAGCCAGAGGAAGTATGTGATATACACATGGACTAAGGCCCAGATGACACTCTGGCTAGATTAGCATCTGGGATTAGGACTGGAAACACATGTCATATGGAACTAAGGGGAACTCTTTGTCGTCCTAATTTGGAAGTTGGTCCCTGGATGGCCAGGGATGCGTGAACCACGCAGGTACCTTTTTTGTTTTTGTTTTTGTTTTGTTTCTTTTCAGTTTGAATTAAGATGGGGCTTGCAACATTAAACATGAGCTGAGCATCCATAAGCATTGAGTTGGGATCAAACAAACATGTTGGGCAGGAATTGAACACCGCTAATATGATGATAAATATGCCTGACTAAAGCCACTACAAAAATTCAGAGATTGGCTGTTCAGATAAGAGTTGAGATTTGTTTTGTGGAAAGACTATTTCTCTTTGATACTGCAAAGGCAGTGGCCATGGATCTGTTCCTCTGTGCTAAATGTCTTGTGGCAGGGTGTGTTTGTGGGGGAGTGTTCGCTGGTACTCTTGAGTAGCCTGAAGTGACCCATTCTATGAATTGTTAATTATGGTGCCAAAAAAATAAATAAATAATAAAGCTTGGTTTTTTAAAAAACCCATTGCTGATATATTGGTTCAATATGATCAATTTCCTCTGCCCTGAGCTATATAAATCATTAGGGGCATGGTAGTATATACAAGTCCAGGTAGAGAGCAGTATGCATTTATTCCTTTTTGTCTTCTTGACCTACACCTTGGTAATATTACTTCTTTTTCTGTCATTTCCTTTTTTGGAATTATGTACTAATAACTGACCCTGTTTTATCTAGCAAGAGATGTGAAAGTATACTAAAGTCTTTGAAAGACACAGTGGGCCGTGCTTAATGGCTCATGCCCACAGTCCCAACGCTTTGGGAGGCTGAAGTGGGAGGATTGTTTAAGTCCAGAAGTTCAAGACCAGCCTGGGCAACATAGTGAGACCCCCCCCATGTCTAAAAAAAATTTTTTCGGCTGGGCACGGTGGCTCACGTCTATAATCCCAGCACTTTGGGAGGCTAAGGCAGGCAGATCACCTGAGGTCAGAAGTTCGAGACCAGCCTAGCCAACGTGGCGAAATCCTGTCTCTACTAAAAATACAAAAATTAGCTGGGCGTGGTGGTGTGTGCCTGTAATCCCAGCTACCCAGGAGGCAGCTGAGGCAGGAGAATTGCTGGAACCCGGGAGGCAGAGGCTGCAGTGAGCCGAGATCACACTGCTGCACTCCAGCCTGGGTAACAGAGCAAGACTCTGTCTCAAACAACAACAAAAAAAACTTTTAAAATTTTTCAGGCATGGTGGCACATGTCTGTGGTCCTAACTACTCGGGAGGCTGAGGTGGGCAGATCACTTGAGCTTGGGAGGTCGAGGGTGCTGTGAGGTGTGATCATGCCACTGCACTCCAGCCTGGGTGACAGAGCAAGACCCTGTCTCAAATAAATAAATAAATAAATAAATAAATAAGGTAGACAGTATGAACACTGGGGAGGGAATCAGGAGACCCAGCTCAAATCGCTTTCAGGTTTTTTGGCCTTGGGTACGTCCTTCACCCGCTCTGAACCTCAGTATCTCCACCTGTGAAACAAAAGAATTGGACATGTCACTGTAGTTTTCAAACTATGCTTGATAGCACTTCCTTAGGGAAGAGTTTCCCAGCTGGTGTGCCTTGGCATGCTGATCTCATTAGCCCTCCCAGACAGGGCCTGTGGTGGGTGAACCCCCACGACCTGTTCCGTTCACATTTCCTCCCCCTACCTTTGTGTTAGAATGGAATCATTTTAGGGCCGGGCGCGGTGGCTCAAGCCTGTAATCCCAGCACTTACGGAGGCCGAGATGGGTGGATCACAAGGTCAGGAGATCGAGACCATCCTGGCTAACATGGTGAAACCCCGTCTCTACTAAAAAATACAAAAAACTAGCCAGGGGGGTTGGGGGGCCTGTAGTCCCAGCTACTTGGGAGGCTGAGGCAGGAGAATGGCGTGAACCTGGGAGGCGGAGCTTGCAGTGAGCTGAGATCCGGCCACTGCACTTCAGCCTGGGCGACAGAGCGAGACTCCGTCTCAAAAAAAAAAAAAAAAAAAAAAAAAAGGAATAATTCAGCTGGGTGTGGTGGCTCACACCTGTAATCCCAGCACTTCGGGAGGCCAAAGCTGGTGGATCACAAGGTCAGGAGTTTGGGACCAGCCTGGCCAACATGGTGAAACCCCATCTCTACTAAAAATACAAAAATTAGCTGGGCGTGGTAGAGCACACCTGTAATCCCAGCTACTCCGGAGGCTGAAGCAGGAGAATCACTTGAACCCAGGAGGCGGAGGTTGCAGTGAGCCGAGATTACGCCACTGTACTCCAGCCTAGACAACAGAGGAAGACTATCTGAAAAAGAAAAGAGAAAAAAAAAAAGGCATCATTTTCTAGGTACCGTGACAGGGAATAGGTTGGGAAGCAATGACTTCAGGAGAGGGGGATGTTGAGTGAATGGGGCTCAGCCCTGTAGCCAGTCAACATATAGAGGCTTAAAGCAAATTTCCAAAAGGCATCCCTTTTCCTTCAAGATACTACCATCCTCTATTGGACGATTGCCCTGTTAATAACTGTACAAATCTATGAGTGTTATTGTTCTTTCAGAATTTGTCTAGCAGGTTTTCTGATCTTCACTGGAAAGCTTTAAAAAACAAAATTATGATGGAGGTGGATGGTACCTCCCAGAGTTGTGCAGCTCATATTTTGCACAACCATTTAGGGGTCCTAATGGAGCTCTGGCATCCTCTCTGCCACAGCCTTTTTGTTTTATGTGCTGTATGATATATTGTGGTTCCATGTAAGATTATGTACGGAAAAGTTCATCTGTCAAAAACAAAATGAAAAATCGCTGGATGGGATGATCTATAAGTTCTCTTCCACTTTGAATTTGTATGACTTCATGGAAAATACCACTTAGGCTGGGCATGGTGGCTCATGCCTGTAACCATAGCACTTCGGGAGGCCAAGGCGGGAGGATTGCTCAAGCTCAGGAGTTCAAGACCAGCCTGGGCAACATACTGAGACCCCATCTCTATTATAAATTTTTAAAATTTTAAATAAAAAAATTAAAAAAATATTAAATACCTCTTATGATTTTTGAATTATTTGAATATTCTTCCTCTAGTGGTTAGTGGTCTTGCATATGTCATTTGATGCTGGTATTCCTAATGGATTTCAATGGTAAACCAAGAAAGGAGAGCACTAGGAGGCCAGGGTTTTGATACTCACGGATAGAGATAATGATTACTAGATGAGAGATGCAGCTCCTGATGGGGAGTAGCATCAGATTCCTTACAGTAGAATACTAAGGACTGCCTTCGGTTTTAATTCAAGTACTCACGTGTCTTTCTTGCTTTCAAATTTGACCTCATTATCAGGCTGAGGATCCATGTTTTTGTCACATTATTGTCCCATACTACAGCAAATCTGATGACAAATTAAAAATTCCAATAGGACAGAAACTACACATCCCTTACATAGAAGAATGGATTTCTGACGATTTCCCACCCATGTGCTAGGAGCTTTCCCCTACTTCTCAAGCTTTCTATGATGACAGCAGTGACATAGTTAGGCTTGGACATCTTCTGTCTCAGTGTCAGGAAAACCAAAAGCTCCATTAAGAGCCACAGAGCTTCTTACAAGTGCCTTATATCACACCTGGTAATCCCCTTCACTTTTCTTCATCCTGCCTAATGAATTCCTGACATTAGATTTCCTGTGGGCCTACAGAAAGTAGATTAAGCCAGGTGCAGTGGTTCACACCTGCAATCCCAGCGACTTGGGAGGCCAAGGCAGGAAGATTACCTGAGCCCAGGAGTTTGAGACCAGCCTGGGCAATACAGTGAGACCCCATCTCTTAAAAAAAGAAACGGCCGGGCGCGGTGGCTCACGCCTGTAATCCCAGCGCTTTGGGAGGCCGAGGCGGGCGGATCACAAGGTCAGGAGATCGAGACCACGGTGAAACCCCGTCTCTACTAAAAATACAAAAAAAAAATTAGCCGGGCGCGGTTGTGGGCGCCTGTAGTCCCAGCTACTCGGGAGGCTGAGGCAGGAGAATGGCGTGAACCCGGGAGGCGGAGCTTGCAGTGAGCCAAGATCGCACCACTGCACTCCAGCCTGGGCGACAGAGCAAGACTCCGTCTCTAAAAAAAAAAATCAGTTTTTTCCAGATGGATGTATTCAAGAACTTTTTTTTCTTTTAGCTCTTTCAGGATATTTATACTCAGTACAGCATGTGATCCTAGATTGGAACCTGCACCAAAAATAAAGATATTTCTGTGGGTGTGTTTTTTGCTATAAAGGACATTGGAACAATAGGCAAAACTTGAATAAGGCCTATATATTAGATAATAGTACTGTGTCAACATGCATCTCTTGACTTTAATCATTGTACTGTGGTTATGAAAATGAGTGTTCTTATTCTTGGAAAATATGCCCTGAGGGGCATGATGTCTGCAACTTATTTATTTTTTTGAAACAGAGTCTAGCTCTGTTGCCCAGGCTAGAGTGCAGTAGTGTGATCTTGGCTCACTGCAACCTCTGCCTCCCGGGTTCAAGCGATTCTCCTGCCTCAGCCTCGTGAGTAGCTAGGATTACAGGCACATGCCACCATGCCTAGCTAATTTTTGTATTTTTAGTAGAGATGGGGTTCCACCATGTTGGCCAGGCTGGTCTTGAACTCCTGCCTTCAGGTGATCTGCTCACCTCAGCCTCCCAGAGTGCTGGGATTACAGGCGTGAGCCACCACACCCAGCCAGAAACTTATTTTCAAATGATTGGTGGGAGGGGGATATCTATGTGTATACATATATATGTATACACGTGTGTATGTCTATGTGTATGTAGACAGCTGTATGTGTGTATATATATTTAAACATAGAATAATAAAGCAACCGTGGTCAAAGGTTGACAAATGGGGGAATCTGGGTGAAGGGTATATGGGATTTCTTTCCAGTATTCTTGTAACTTTTCTGTAAATTGGAAACTATTTCAAAATTAAAAGATACGCCTCTTTTCGCCCTGCAAAAAAACATGCTTACAATTCTGATGAGGTGACAAGATCAAGCTCTGACACCTACAACACTGAAAACAGGACCCTGGTGACTAAGGTTACCCTGAAGTCATCAACCTGTAGCAAGGATGGAATGTTGACTCTAAACAGGCTTTCAAGAGAGGTGACTTGAAGGCAGAATTTTAATTCCATCGAGAATGTGATTTAAGCACCTGGAGCACTTGAAGGGTTGACCTAAAAGTTATAGGAGTGCAGAGGATAGACTTATTTCATCTAGTCTAAGTCCAAAGGCCTGAGAGCCAGTCAGCTGATGGTTTAAATCCCAGAGTACTTTTCTGCAGGGTGCAAAAAAAGGGTTTGGCAGTCAAATAAGTTTGGGAAATAATATGTGTTTTTTTGTTTTTTGGTTTTTTTTTAGACGGAGTCTTGCTCTGTCGCCAGGCTGGAGTGCAGTGGTGCGATCTCGGCTCACTGCAACCTCCGTCTCCTGGGTTCAAGCGATCCTCCTGCCTCAGCCTCCCGAGTAGCTGGGACTACAGATGCGTGCCACTACACCCAGCTAATTTTTGTATTTTTAGTAGAGATGGGGTTTCACCGTGTCGGCCAGGATGGTCTCCATCTCTTGACCTTGTGATTTGCCCACCTCAGCCTCCCAAAGTACTAGGATTACAGGTGTGAGTCACTGCGCCTGGCCTGGAAATACTATGTTAAAAGTGAAGTAGGTAAGTAATCAATGAAATAAGAATGGCAGAATGGGCCAGGTCTGGTGGCTCACGCCTGTAATCCCAGCACTTTGGGAGGCCGAGGCGGGCAGATCACCTGAAGTCAGGAGCTCAAGACCAGCTTGGCCAACATGGTGAAGCCCTGTCTCTACTAAAAATACCAAAAAAATTAGCTGGGCGTGGTGGTGGACACTTGTAATCCCAGCTACTCGGGAGGCTGAGGCAGGAGAATCACTTGAACCCGGGAGGCGGAGGTTGCAGTGAGCTGAGATCGTGCTATTGCACTCCAGCTTGGGCAACAAGAGCGAGACTCAGTCTCAGAAAAACAAACGAGAATGGCAGAATGTTGATAATTGTTGGAGCTGGGTGACAGGCATATGGAAATTTGCTGTATTAGGGTCCCCAGAGAAACAGACCAATAGGAGATGGATGGATGGATAGACAGGGATATGATGAGATTTAATTATGAGGAATTTATTCATGAGATTATGGAGACTGAGAAGTCCCACAGTCTGCCATCTGCAAGCTAGAAACCCAGGAAAGGTGGGGTTGAAATTCTAGTCTAGAGATGAGGTTTCACCATGTTGGTCAGGCTAGTCTCAAACTCCTGACCTCAGGTGATCCACCCTCCTTAGCCTCCCAAAGTGCTGGGATTGCAGGCATGAGCCACCGCACCCAGCCTATAATTCTTACTTAAATAGACTGAGTACCATTCATGTAACCTAAAATTCAGTAGCAACTCAAATATTTTCTCAAGTCAATAAGTATTATATCATGGATATAGTCTTGAATTTATGAATCATAATTAACCATTTTTCACTTGGTGACTAGGTTATGCCAAATTTTTTAAATAATTATTAACACTTTTTTTTTTGAGACAGGGTCTCACTCTATTGCCTGGGCTGGAATGCAGTGGCACAGTCATGGCCCACTGCAGCCTTGACCTCCTGCACTTAGGTGATCCTCCCACAGCCTCCTTTATATTTTGATCCACATTGCCACCTGCTCTTCCAGAAAAGTTCTACTTACGTATACTCGAAATGGGTAAGATTTTCAGGTAGAAAGGAGGCATGAGTGTTGGGAAGGGATGTTCTAATTGGAGGAAAAAATTGTTCACAAAAGCATGGAGTTGAAGAGAGAATATGTTTTGCAAGAGGCTAACCTCAGACCAGTAGAGAAGAACTGTAGGGAATGATGCTGTGAAAAGGTAAATTGGAACAAGATTGTGGAGGCTGCAAAGTTCGGCCTATTCCATAGGCATTGGGAAGTGACTGAAACTTGTTGAGAAGGTTTGACGTGGTTTGTGAAACTAACTGTAGTAGTGGGTTCAAAGTAAGCAGGAGGGACACAGACTGACCAGGCCTAGCAGGCAGCCCTGCAGGGGAACAGATGTGAAATGACTGGAGCCAGATTAGGAGGTTGGATTAGGGGAGGGGAGGGAGGAATTTATATTTCTACTGTCACCTGGAGTCTTAAACCCTGGCAAGGCCACACTCCCAGAGCCTATCAGGCTGCTTCTCTAATATAGTGCTTGATTTTAGAAGCAGTGGCTTG